GAACCGCTGTTGCTCAGAGCTCAAACTCTTGAGCGAGCTCTTAACCAACTGAGCCACTCGACCGGCCCTAAAATATCTTAATGTATAACTGACAGCTTCTTAAACCCTCTAGGGTATTCTGTCCCCTCACACAAAAATAGCTTCTCACTTGGGAGAACAGGAAGGAGAACTCTTTGTCCCTCCAATCAAAAAGGACATATATTTTTTTCTCTTCATAAACATTTTTATCTTCAATTCAGATGTTTGTTTTTAAACTTATCATAGAATAGATATTTTAAGAGCATCCTAACTTGTTTCACCATCGCCTTTATGAGTATTTAATATATTCATCAGCTTAATAATTCTTTATCTTCATATATTTATCACCTTAATACATTCATAACTTACCTCTTGCCATGGGAGCTGGGTACCTTTGTTAGAGGATTCAGCTTAAGTTTCAACTTACTGTCAGAAACTGCCATGTTGTCAGTAACTCTGTCTGGAATTCAGAAGGTGCAATTAAGGATCAAATAACAGATTAATTTCTCTATATTCTTTTGCAACCTTCCTAGTTCAAGACCTGGTGTTTGAAGTCCAGGGCGTCAAGGAATGGTAATATGTGTAAATTCAAGTTAGAGGTTTGTGCAAAGTTGAAAGGCCGTGTGGAAGAACCTCTTTTGCTATTCCAAGATCTCTAAGCAAAATTTCTTGCCATTGTTCCCCCTTCAAGTAGTATCATTCTGATCCTATATAAAGATAAATGGTACCATGTGACACAGATAAAGCATCTGGAAACATGTGGAAAAAGTTATTTAAAGACAAAATTTATTTTTGAAATCAGTAGACTGATTAATTGACAGAGAGTAAAATGTCACAGCATTTCCAAAATATTTACCTAATTGTTTATATCTTGAGTACCTGCCTGGGAGTAAGTAGATTTTCCCAGGGTTTCCTCCTGGGAAGTCCACCCCTGCCCTGTCAGTTATTATAAACCCACAGATCTTTCTGAAAAGTGGAACGGGGGTGGGATACAATGCTGTTTTGCCACCCTAGACACTCCTGAATGGATTCAGTCGCTATGGCCTGCCTAGTCCTTCCCTTTCCACCTCTGTATTGTTTGAGAAGTAGGGCCTGTGGACCAGAAGCTGGGTAGGAGGCGCTTCTCATTTTATTGTTGGTTTTCTCTCTCCAATTGTCTTTTCAAAATGTAGACTGTATATTAGGTGGTTCACTGACAAGAAAACTGGGCTGCTGACTTAGGAACAATAAACAATCATATACTATTAAACCATGAAGAAAAAGTCTCTGAGTGTATGGTCAGAGTTTGATCAATTTTCCCAGGCCTTCATCTCAGAGCCTAGAAAGCATTTGCTTCTAAACAACTCAATTACGTGTGCTCAAAATCTGAAAACCTACCGCAGAGCTGGGAACTCCGGAGAGGAGTTCAACAATTTAGGCACTGGAAAGGTACTGTGAAGTCATCCTCCTGGCTCAAAATTATCATTACTTAAAAAAACTACCTTCAATCTCTCACAGAGATGATAGATTAAAAAAAAAAAGAAAGACTCGGTAGATTCCCACAAAATCCTGATATTTACCTACTTTTAGGTTGTGCTACTTTCTACTTCTGGGCTTCAATCAGATCAAGAATCCCATAAAGGGTTTGTTCCATCATACAACTGTGACCTCATTCACTTCTCAGGCTCAGGCCCAGGGTGAGAATGACTCACAGGCTCCTTCTAGCTTTAGAGCAATTGTGTTTTCAACATAGTTCCTTTAGCACCTGTGGATGTCAATTACAGAATCAGAGCATTTGACACTGTTGGGATTTTAGGGAAGGGGAAGTTTTGTTTTTTAAATACTATATTAATATATTTTCATGTTAAACATTAGTGAATTGAAAGTTGTTCAAGTACAAAATTTTACCCAATTGCCTTGATGAAGAACAATTTCATTAATTAAGCCTAGGAAGAGGGACAAAAAAAAATCAAACTCTTCCAGGTTTGTAGTCAGTCTATAGTATTATTGATTTAAAAAGAATGATTGAATAAAGGATTATGATTGTTTTCATCAGAAACTTTAATATTCAAGATCAAATATGTCTCATGGTATTGTAAATCCTCTAGCACAGGAGTTTGGAGTATCTGTAGACCTCAGGATGGCTGAGCACAGATACCTCTGGCCCCCTAGGCTTAGGGTGAGCCCCCACTATTGTTTCAGGCTTCATTTAGTCGCTCTAATTCTAAAGGTTTCCTATTATTATGAGACTAACTTGACTTTTCCCTCGTCGTTCCAAACACGGTACATTGCCTCCCATTCTGGCCAGGAATACAGAGGCAAAGAAAGGGAAGGTTTAATTTACAAATTAATGAAACAAATATTTAATAAGGGCCTGCTACGGTAATCTAGGGGCTACCAAGATTTAAAGTGGGGATAATGGCAGTTCTTATTGGATGGGGTTGTTGAGAAGTAGAATTTTAAAATTATTATTATTATTAATTTCTTTTTAATATTGTGGTAAAATGCATATATCATAAACCTTACTATCTTAACCATTTTTAAGTGTACAGTTCAGTATTGTTAAGTATATTCACATTATTGAACTTCATCATCTTATAAAAGTGAAACTCTATATTCATTAAACAATAACTCCCCAATTACCCTTCCCCTTCCTGGCAGCTACCATTCTACTTTCTGTTTCTATGAATTTGGCTGCTTGAGAAACCTCATGTAAGTGCAATCATACAGTATCTGTCTTTTTGTGACTGGCTTATTTCAGTTAGCATAATGTCCTCAAGATTCATTCATGTTGTAGCGTGTGTCAGAATTTCCTTCCTTTTTAAGGCTGAATAATAATTTATCTGTTGATGGACATTTGGGTTGCTTCCACCTTTTGGCTATTATGAATAATGCTATGCTATGACGTCTGACAATTAAGTTCGTGAACTCATCCTAGAAAAAGTGCTACAGACCTAATTGCTGAATATCACTATGGTCACCTTCGAAGTATTCCCCTTGGGAAGCTATGCACTGATGCAAGCACCTAGTCCAACCTTCAAAGCAATGTTGGAATTCTTTTTCTGGAATGGCCATCAAAGCTGTCATCATATTACCTTGAATGTCCTGAATGTCATCAAAATGTCTTCCTTTCATTATTTCCTTTGTCTTCAGGTAAAGAAAGAAGTCATTGGGGGCCAGATCAGGTGAGTAGGGAGGGTGTTCCAATACAGTTATATGTTTAGTGGCTAAAAACCCCCTCACAGACAGTGCCGTGTGAACTGGTGCATTGTCGTGATGCAAGAGCCATGAGTTGTTGGCAGAAAGTTCAGGTCGTTTTCATCTAACTTTTTCATGCAGCATTTTCAGCACTTCCAAATAGCAAACTTGGTTCACTGTTTGTCCAGTTGGTACAAATTCATAATGAATAGTCCCTCCAATATAAAAATTTTTTAGCAACATTGTTGCAACAAGTTCACGAACTTAATTGTCAGAACTTATATATTAGAGCTTCTCTATATCCCTAATAAGTGTGGCTTTAGAAATTTTCACATAGAACCCCACAACCCAACCATCATTAAGGCACAGTAAAGTCAAAAGCCCCTGGTCTATATGGAAGATACTGACGCTGCCAAGAATAAGAACAGCAATAAAGGAAGAAGACAGTGAGTCCAGTGCTATTTCTTACAAAATGCTTTTCTTGTGTGGGAATTGTGTTTTCTAAACAGGTTTTATCGGACATACACATATATAATTTCAGCAATTTTCACACAAGAGCCCATTAATCCCAGCTTCAAAGGCTGTGCTAAATCCTCACCGTGAATTGGCAGAGTTTTCAGCAGCTCCTTCTCCTCATCGGTGAGTACGAGCCCAATTTTCCTCAGCACATTGTCCAGATTACTGACATCAGCCTTCTCTTCTTTGGAAAGATAGGGATTATTAATTTGTAAGAATTTTAGGAATGGACTAATAATGATTGATTTCAAATTATGTGAAAGATCACCTATGTACCATCATCCTTAATTAGTAGAGCAAATTGACCATGAAACTTGTTAAACTATGTAGATTTGAAGGACATGTGAGTGTGTTCAGTTAGATATAGAATTTATGCTTTTAATTCAAGCTGAAGAAAAGCTTATATAATTCCAGATACAAGTCAAATGTCATTGTATTTCTGAATTATGGGGTCTTTTGACACACACAGTAAGCATATTTCGTGGCGATCCTATAACAGCTTCACCTTGAGACAGAACAGTGCTGACCTGTATTTTAGTTGTTTAAACAATGGTGAAGTAGAAAACATTATTGGTGAAAACAAGCTCTATATATAGGAGAAATCCCAAATCAAACAGCAAGATTATAAAACAAACATTTAATCATCAAATTTATAGGGAGTCAACTTAGTATGTCAGTAATAGCCCCAAGAGAAAACTACTGTTTAAAAACATCTTTTTTTTTCTTTTCTATAGAGCATTAGGTCTTAGTAAATAATGAATTCCTTTTCACCACAGCTTCTTACTCACCTTAAAAGCTTTTGCTCATTCATCGCCACATTCAAATCAACCATTTCATTCTCTGTATGAAAAGCATTCAGGCATAGACACCAACTCTTAGACTTAGGAGGATGATAAGAAAAATTTATGTTGCAATATAAAGTGTTAGAATTCAGCTGTTTTTCATGATTTTCTTTAGTAACTTTTAACTCAAAATAAGCAAGAAACAGAGGAACGAAAAAGATCACAATGATAATTTAAAGTGAGCATTCAACAGGTGGCAGGATGGCTCAGCTTAAAAAAAAGAAAAAAAAAGATTGATCAATAAAGTGAGCATTCATTTAATGAATACCACTTTCTATAAAGTGTCAAATGACCCTTAACAGAGAAGTTTAATAGTAGTCCCTTCTAATAGGCCTCTCCCTTCAGACACATTTCAGTAGACAAGACTGAATTTGAAATTAGACGTCATTTATTTACATAAGCAGCTGACAGTTAAACAGTAAGTGTGCCACCTTCCCACTCTCTAAATTTGGCTTATGTTTTCCACCTCCATCCCATAGGACTGTGAACTATTTGAGGGCAGGGACCATGCCTTAATTTTCTTTATTCTACCAGGCATAAATTGTTCACTCTCTAGTTCAGTGTTTTGCATACTTCGTGTTAGCTAATGAATGAAAGAATTCCAGTGGTACAGAAATAGTCGCACTATTGGATTAGAAAACAATATCATCATTTTTTTTAATCAAGGGTTTTAAAAATACTTAATTGGTAACAATATCTTATCGTGTAGAAATCATGTTGAGGACCCCCTAGTTAATATGTGGGGAGAATATTACAATGAAAAAGTGATTTATGTTGACTTTTTTCACGATTAGAAGAGGGGCTAGACAAAATGATTGATAATTACCAAGTGTTGCTAAACCAAGGGAGAGTGAAGTTTTAAACTAATAGAAGCTAGGCCCTGTTAAGGCCAGATACAGGTAAGGATAGCAAGGGCGATGTTTGCTGGTAGCACTGGCCTACCTTAGCTACACCTGCCAATCACTAGTGGAGAACAGGAAGCCTGAATTAGGGGAGAAGAACCATTTGTTCATTTTGGGCTGGCATGTGCTGGCGCTACTGAGAGATGTGCTGCCTTGGCTTTCTGATTGAAGCTTGTTTTTCATCAGGTATTTGATCAGACTCACAGGCTCTGTGACTGAATCAAAAACCCTCTACCAGGGGAAATCTTAGCCTGAGGCTCATTTCTTAGCAATGGCTTCCTATTGAATTATCCTTTCTTTGCCTCTTGGACATTTTTATCTGGTTAAATTGGTCTTATTGAGTCATTCATGAAACTTTATCTTATAGATAAAAAAGGCACACATGGGCAGGAAAGAAGGAAGATATATGAAGCAAATATGGCAAAACAGTGACCTCTGTTAACTCTAGCCAGTGGATACACAAGTGTTTGTTATATTGTTCTCTGTTTTTATGTGTGCTTGACGTATTTCATAGAAATGAAAAAATAGGTTTATTTTCAGAAGCCCTCGTATAGAAGCCCTAAGACTCCCGCTTGGTACAGTTGTATCTGAAATACCTACTGTCAACCGACAGGTGGTGCAGTAAGTCCTCACAGTCCTCTTTCTCAAACTGGAGTCCCATGCTCTTCATAAGGGCGTCCAGGTTGCTGACACTGACTCTTTTCCCTTCGGAAAGAAGAGGATGAAAAGAAGAAATAGAAGCAAGTCCAAGAAGGGGAAAATGCTCACTTTGAGAATGTGTTCGCCCCAAGTGGGGAGTGCAACACTGGCCATTTAAGGGAACCCAGATAGTGTTGAAGTTGAGAAAAGTCCTCCCTCAACATTGCATCATACCTTTTAATTGAAGTAATCACGGATAAAAAAGAAGAATTAGACAAGTCTGATGAATGGTGATAAAGATCACCAACCTAAATGAGATCACAAGTTCAAACTTGCTACGATTAACAATGACTTCCTCAAAGGTAGTTCTACCCGAAAAAGAATAGTAGGTCATGAGGCATAAATTCAGTATCAGTAAACCAGTGGAAAAGACAGGTTCTATCCAAAATTTAAAAAGCAAATACAAATCACAATACATTGTAGCTGTGGTTCTTATGATTTCTACCTTTGAAAGGCTTCACACTATCCAGTAATGGTTTCTTATATACCTTTCCATCTCCTGTAAGATATGATAAAATTCAAGTGAAAAGAAAAAGGATAAGGAACTCTATAATTTTATAAGACCTTATATGATTTGCCCAGAAATTCATTCTATTTTATCCTCAAATAATAATGGAAGATAAGGAGTGTTCTCAGTGTGTCCATCTATCCCCTAGCTGGAAGTAGTTAATGCGGATCACACACACACACACACACACACACACACACACACACACACACACATACACATCCTTCTTCTCGTTCGTTCTCTTTTTTAACTGTACTTTGACCCTCTGCCTTTCTCACTTTTCCTTGCCTGGGCACTAGGCCCATGGGGTATTCCTATGTGTTTACAGCTTATTGGTAGGACCTATAAACAGATGGTATTATAGTTAACCCAAACAGTAATGTAAAACAATATTTAAATAAAAATTTTTGTTCTCTAAACAAACTCTTCATAAATGGAGGTGAAATTCAACAGGGACAGAGAACAAGGGACATCAGCCAGACCAACTCATCCCCACAGTGGCTGTCTGTCCCCAGAGGCCTCCATCCTGTGGCAGGGGTGTCTGCAGTGTTGACAGAACCCTCGGCACCTGGTGTGTGACTGCAGTCGTCCCCATCACAGGCCATCTATCTGCCTCTTTCTGCATCTCTAGCCATCTTCCTCTCTCAGAGCCAATATCCTAAGAATGCTGCAGTTCTCATAACTGGCCCCTTGAGAGCAATGTAGGGGACTGCTAGACACAGCGAGTGGCCACAGCCTTAGGTCTATGTGGGGAGAATTCAGATGAGCAGTGAGCGTTTGCTCCCCAGGGGCACTAGCCTACTTGGTGATGTGCTGGCTCGCTCTTGCCTGGGAGACAACTGGGGGCAGGAACTATGAGGGGAAAGGATGTCTATGTGGGGGTCCCTTGGGACTGGGCGGGAGGTACAGGTGAAGCACAGGCTGACCTCTAAGGTCTTTGTGGGCAAGCCTCCACAGGTGCCCAGGAGGTGGGACTTTTTTTTTTTAAGATTTTTTTTTTAATTGGGTAATTGGGGGGGGGATGGGAACAGTGCTGGGGAATTAGGGGAAGGGGAACAGACAAGTTGCTGTCGTTTTTTGTTCTTCAGTCTAGTTGTGGAGGACGCTGCTTCACTGGCCCAAGTTGGTACCATCATTGCGCTCTTCCCTGGCGAGGCAGATCAGTTGCCGGCTTCTAGACGGCCGCTCACTGCGGCTGCTGGCCGCTCACGCTGGCTGCTGGCTACATACGGTAGCCCAT